ATAGTCTTGGCCTTCACAACATCCTCTGGCAAGGAGTTCCAAAGGTTGACTGTGCGTTGTGTGAAAAAATACTTCCTTTTGTTTGTTTTAAACCTGCTGCCTGTTAATTTCATTTGGTGACCCCTAGTTCTTGTGTTATGAGAAGGAGAAAATAACACTTCCTTATTTACTTTCCCCACACCAGTCATGATTTTATAGACCTCTATCATATCCCCCCCCCTTAGTCATCTCTGGAGTCATCTCAAAGCTGAAAAGTCCCAATCTTATTAATCTCTCCTCATACAGAAGGCATTTCATACCCCTAATCATTTTTGTTGCCCTTTTCTGAACCTTTTCCAATTCCAATATATCTTTTTTGAGATGTGGAGACCACATCTGCACACAGTATTCAAGATGTGGGTGTACCTGGGATTTATATAGAAGAAATATGATATTTTCTGTCTTATTATCTATCCCTTTCTTAATGATTCCCAACATTCTGTTCGCTTTTTTGACTGCCCCTGCATATCGAGTGGATGTTTTCAGAGAACTATCCGCAATGACTCCAAGTTCTCTTTCTTTAGTGGTAACAGCTAATTTAGACCCCACCATTTTATATGTATAGTTGGGAATATGTTTTCCAATGTGCATTACTTGGCATTTATCAACATTGAATATCATCTGCCATTTTGTTGCCCAATCACCCAGTTTTGTGAGATCCCTTTGTAGCTCTTTGCAAGTAAGTTACCTTACTTTTCCTCTCTCTCTCTCTCTGAGATCTGAAAGATTTCTTGTTCAAATGCATTGCCATGGCTCTGAAGCTGCACTCAATGCTTATATTAGGGATTACTGCACAACCTATAAATAAAAGTAAATGCATTCTCTTGTCCTACATGACAAGACAAAATGCTAACAAGGCACGCCAGGACTTCAAATGGCTGGGGAAAGTAATTATAGAAACATGAGATTGGAGATGGATTGGCCATGGGGGTCTTCCACACCAAGTCTAACTCATGACCCTCAAGAAGCTTGACAGCAGTAAGGCATTGGCAGTGCAGAGACCACTGTCTATCCTGTCAACCAATATTGTATCTTTGTATTTCCACATCCGTATCCTTCTCTTGTCTTATACTTAGATTGTAAGCTTCTTAGGGTGGGGACCTTCTTTTTGTTCCAGATTTGTACAGTGCTAAGCACAATGGGCTCCATTTCCTGTCAATATAAAACTGTCGCATAAGTGCATTGGCCATTCTAATTTAATGTAAATGTTGCAGACAAAAATGATTCAGTAATGTCCCACGGAAGACTATTCCACAGCCTAAGAGCTTTCAGGTTGTTTTCCTTGATGCCTAGCCAAAATTTTCTCTCACTCAGTTTCCTCCTAATAACCCAAGTTATAGTCCCTTTCACCACACTCACTAAATATTTTGAAACCAACTAATATATATTTTCCATGTTGATTGTTCTTCTTCACTGTAGGAATTAATAGAAACCAGAACATGTCTCAGTTTTAGCACCGAGCAAGTATAAAGCAGTTATATCTTCCCCAAGTAAGCATGTGATGGAGTGAAGCCCTATCACGGGCTGGAAGGGAGTTAATAAATCAATTAAGTATGGCACAGGTACAATAGATGTACCCAATTAGCTGCTCCTGAGCCAGAGGGTCAGGAGTTGGAGACATCAGATGATAACTTAATGGGCACCTGGGCCCTATGAAAGGGGAAAGAGTGCACTCTGAAGGGAGGAACCACAGGGAGAAGAGGGACTCCCGTAAAATTGCCAGAGCCGGAGTCTGCATATGAGCAGAGACTTCAGCAAGACTCATTCTGAGAGGCCAGTGCTCAACATCAGAACTGGGGGATAAAAATCTGGAGTAGCTGAAGGAAATTGAAGATGGAGCCCAGAGAAAGGTAGATTTGTTAAGAGACTATGATTACCGGTTTGAGCTTTTGTTGTCCTCAAAAGGGTTGGACTTAGAAACGTCTCAGACAGAGGGCTAAACTGCACACAGACAGATAACCTGCAGGGTGTGCTAGAGATACAGATTCCTAGAACATCACACCCTGATGCAAGCGAGCGCTTTAATGATGAGTGTGCACACTGAGAAAGAATAATTTTCAGACTGTAACCTGTGTAGTGGATAAAATTGTTTCTCCAGTACCAATTACTTTTTGTGTTTATTTTGGAAGTTAAAAAAATAAAATAAAAAACGATCCTATTTTCCCCTTGCTGAGGAACTCAGGGAAAAGAATCTTCAGGACTTATTTTTAAAGCTAGGAGTTGTTGTCCCCCCACCCCCCAAAAAAATACTATAAATATGGATTTGCAGAAATTTGCTTCCACTGGCTCTGGAGTCCTTGCCATCTGATCTATTTTCAGAATATTTAAAGGCTTTGTTGGTTTGTATGTTTGAAATCAACTGTGAAGGATGTTGGGTTGTTGTTGTTGTTAACCCTGTGACTCCTAAATAGTACAGAGCTGTCTGTAGAAAGTAATGGAAGTCATTAGCAGGCATTGTGGATGATAGATTTAACTATGCATACTCAGAAACTGCTTACATTGCAGTTTAAATAAAAAAAAATGCATTGAAACCGGTCACTCGATCTCATTAGGTAGTCATACTCCGTTATGTACTATTGATTAGTTTGTACAAAGGAATTTCAGAGGAACTCTGACAGCTGTGCATATGCAGTCAATAGCCATGAAACTCTTGTTTCATTAATTCCATTACAATGGAGTGCGGAAGGAGGGGAAAGTAAAGAGGAACTTTCGGGAAGATTTGTTTTGGATTCTTTACAGTTCACTAAAAACTGAACTATACAGAAAACAATGTTAGAAAATAGTTGATTTTCCACTTGGATAACTATACTATACTTCTAAACAGGACTCTAATTTATATCTGGTTAGAATGAAAATTTGGCCAATTTTTTAAATTGTCCTGTTGGTTCTTAGACTGCTTTTAAATATTGCAATAATCAACATCACACATTTATCTTAATACCTCTCTGTGTTAATCTTATGGGATAGCAGCTTATAATGCAATTCAAGTCCAAAGCCAAGCAGGGAAGCATAACCATGTACTAGTACATATAATTGCTGATATGGTCAGATGATTCCTAAAAGCTCCACCAATGATAAAGTTTGAACAAAGATTAATATATAGGCTTCCCAAAGGTTTAATATATTAAAGAGGGAGTACAAAATGATTTTCCCAGTTCACACTAAACACAGCACACCCTATATAAAAGTGAAATTAATGTTAATTGTTCATAATGGTATAATATATTTGATTTCAGTCTTCATCCTGAAAGATTCTAGTGTGACTATAGCCAAATCTGTTAAAACATAGGACAATCCTGCAGTCTTCATCCAGCCACAGCTTCCAATACAGGATTTAGCTCTTTATTTGATATATCTACATATCTACATCAATACATATATAGATATAGATATAGACATACAGATGGATGGCCCAATCTTAATCTCACACCACTGTCACTCCAGTGATTTTAACAGGCATTTTCCCTAGATGCACAGGTTTCAATGAGATCAGAATTAACTCGTTTATATTTTCTGATAATATAAGTATCATTCACAATTGAAGTGGGGATACCTCTGCATTGGAATACAACAGCTGTTGAACAACTCACAGCAACTTTGCACAACATCTGAGGGCAGGAACTGAAGAGAAATATATTGAGTTGTAACTGCAGGAGGAATTTAGATATAGAGTCTGGGTATCCAAGTTAGAACAGATGTCCTTGCCAAATTTCAAGACCCCCTAGTTTTACAGAAAATGCCATGAGAAGCACACATGAGTATCATCAAATCTACATTAGAAATGATCAGAAAATGTTCATACTGGCTCTAGTCTACACCGTGTATTTTTATTTGATCAGTGTTCAAATATGTACAATGTTGCAATATCTCAACAAGCCCTACAATATCAGCATATTTTTCAATACACATTCTATTTATTCTCGTCATTTACCTACCACAGGCATTGCATATGCAAATAAATCCTGCCAGGAGACAATCTGAATGCGAACAGGTAGAGTTCCCACCTGAACTCAATCAATATGGGACGTATTCAATCCCAACCTTAATCCCATCCTGCAGTTTGTCTCTCTTGATAACTCAGATAAGAATAACAAAACCTCAGACTGAGCATCCTTTTCAAACTATGTTGTTTCTAGGGTTTCCCTGCAGCATCCCAGAGACAATTACCCTCTGCCCAAAAGGCAGGGAGAAGTTAATGAGCCACACCCATCACACACAGTCAGCAAGTATCCTTCTGCAATGGAACAAATGTGCAGGTACACCTCTACCTCGATATTACGCTGTCCTCAGGAGCCAAAAAATCTTACCGCATTATAGGTGAAACCGCGTTATATCGAACTTGCATTAATCCACCGGAGTGCGCTGCCCCCCTTCCCCCCCCCGGAGCGCTGCTTTACCGCGTTATATCCGAATTCGTGTTATATTGGGTCGTGTTATATCGGGGTAGAGGTGTATCAGAAAGCAGTATATGGCCTATAAAACATACAGTAGTTTACAGAAGCACGAATGACATAGACATACCTGTAGGTGACCCTTCCATGACATGTCCAACGTATGGTCCTTCCCTGAAGATGGGTCTGTTGTCATTCTGGTCAATAACAATGATATCTAGAAGGACTGGGCCTTCAATACTTTTGCCGCTGACATCAGTGATCTCAACTTGCAGCTGAATGAGCAAAGAGATAGGAGTACATGAGTTAGTTCATTATCATGACATAAGCAAGGAGCAAGGAAAAGAAAAGCTTACATCAGCATTTTTGCTGGAACAAGCCACTGGCAAATTTAGTACTTCAGTCTCAAGGGAGATTCTCTAGGACTGGGCTAGAAGCAAAATGGTTTTGAATGCAAGCAAGAGATTCATATGGTGACCCTCATTGGGTAGTCTGCAACTGATTTGCTAAATTTGCTAAAGAACGCAGTGAAGGGGAGAAAAAAAGAAACATAATTTGATATTAATGAAGTGAATATTTGCTTAGAATCAGGCTATTTCCTTCAAAGGGAAACATACAATACCATGTATAAAATAAATTGCAAGATCCTTGTTAACTGAGTATTAGAAGATATAAATAGGATGTTATAAGAAAAAGGTAAGAGCAACCCTTTTGTAGAGTAAATAAATTCCCTCCTTGATGAGGGAGTAGAGTAAATCAGCACAAAATTTGATTCAATCTCTATGTATTTTGTCCTGAAAAGAAAGGTATGGAGGAAATAGCTGTAATGATAATATTTCAATTATGTTACGTCATGACTTTCATGACAAGTCACTGCTGCCTTCAACAGGTCTTTATGTCTCCTCTTTGTTTATTTATTTTTATGTAGCAGAAATGGGAAATTGTGAAATCAGCAGCCACTATTTCCTTGACATGTCAAATTCAACAGAGCACACCTCAAAGTCATGGTGCAGCAAAAACCTGAGGCATGCAATGCAAGAGACATTTCTTTCCCTTTCCGTGGCAGCTGGCTTTTGTTCCAGTGTTATGAATTGGTATCTCAGCCATGAACACAGAGAGACAGTAACAACAGGGATTCACTGCAATCAATGCCTATTTCTGCATCTGGGGTATAACAGTACTAAAGTCTTTTGGCACAAAAAGCTGGGAAAGCAAAAGGAACCATTCAGATCTGGTTGGGATTTTGGCTAAGAGTGTCAGAAACAATGCAGTGTGAAGTGATTAGAATTAAAACACAAAGCTTTTGAACTAAATGTTTGGGATTTCTATTGTAAATTTCTGAAACAGCTTAAATAGCCTCAAAAGCTAAATAACAAGTATTCTGCTGGGGCGGGGGGGAATCTAAAAAATTGGTCCACTATGACCATAGCCAATGGTTATTGAGCAAAACAAGTGTTTTTTGTCAAAATGGAATGATGCATATATTATAATAGAAAACTACACATCTGATGACCTTTACCTTGAAGGGCATTGTGCGTTTATGAATGTGTTTGCTTAGCAGCTGAGGGTTGATACAGTGCATACCATACATCATGTGGTAATGAATTGTGCCGTTTTGAAAGGCTCCACTCTTGAGTAATAAACATTCTTCACAAAACCTTAGCAACCTCCAGCACTCAACAAACCAACCATTCAGGTCCATTTTCAGGTTTTTCTTTCATATCAACCCTGTTTAACACACACAACAATCTATCAGCTGTTACTAGTATGGCAGTTCTCAGAAAACAGCTTGCCTGTGTTCATGTTGTGGACTCTGGGATGCTAATTGGATTTTCAGTTCATCATAGAATCATAGAATATCAGGGTTGGAAGGGACCTCAGAAGGTCATCTAGTCCAACCCTCTCTCAAAGCAGGACCAATCCCCAACTAAATCAACCCAGCCAGGGCTTTGTCAAGCCTGACCTTAAAAACCTCTAAGGAAGGAGATTCCACCACCTCCCTAGGTAACCCATTCCAATGTTTCACCATCCTCCTAGTGAAAAAGTTTTTCCTAATATCCAACATAAACCTCCCCCACTGCAACTTGAGACCATAACTCCTTGTTCTGTCATCTGCTACCACTGAGAACAGTCTAGATCCATCCTCTTTGGCACCCCCTTTCAGGTAGTTGAAAGCAGCTATCAAATCCCCCATTATTCTTCTCTTCTGCAGACAAAACAATCCCAGTTCCCTCAACCTCTCTTCATAAGTCATGTGCGCCAGCCCTCTAATCATTTTTGTTGCCCTCCGCTATATCAGTTATATTAGCTAAACTGTGAAGGATGGTAACTTTAAATGAATAGCTATTAATTTCATGGGTTGTCCCTGATCCGTTGTCACTTCCTAATACAATTTCAATGTGATGCTAAATTCAGCCCTTGATTATATCACTTTAACCAAGGGTGCAAAAGCCTCCACTGACAAAAAAAATATCTAGATTCTAGATCATGCCTGGGGCATTGATCAGAATTGGGTTTGATGCAGCACAGTCTTCACTAATGAGTGTCCTATGGAGTCTTGGCCTGAAACTAAAGTTATCCTCCGCAGTCACAACCCCATTGCTTTGATGAGAATGGTACCCACTCTCCATTGGAGCCAAATCTCATTCCACTCCTTTGGATATCTCACCACAACCACCATCCTCTGAACTTTTAAAAAAATTATTTTCCAACATGCTGAAGATTTACCTAAAACAACAGATCAATGCCACACTTGTATCTGGTAAATTCATGTAGTATTTACATTGACAGAAGGAGCTGTTCTAGTTTATGAGTAAGTGAATATTGAGGATCTGATTTGTAGCAACTGCATGCATGGGCAAGCAAATTTACTAGTTGTCTGACAAAAAAGTCAAGACTTCAGCTCCAATCCTGCAATATCTGTGCACTGTCAATGGGGCCCTGCATGGGAACAGCAGTCTACCTACCTGCAATCAAATGTAGGATCAGAGACTGTATGGAGGACTGTTTTATAGCATGCTCATTTTGAGCTGAAGCACTGATCCTGAAGTTCACCCATCACCTCATTATTAACTATTAAAATAAACAATGGTCATTTTAACAATCTAGGAGTTACTGCTATTATTATACTAAACATGTAATGTTTTCAAAGCATTGTACACATATTACTTAGCTAAGCCTCTCAGATAGACTTGGCCAAAATTGCTGAAAAAGGTCACATGATGTTTTTCATGAACTCACATCATAGGATTAATTTGTCTCTTCACAGATCCAGATCTGTTTCTAGCTTGAAAAAGCACATTTCATCCCTTGCTTCCTTCAGTCCATCATTGCCAGTCTCCCAGGGCCAGCTCCAGGCACCAACCGACCAAGCACGTGCTTGGGGCAACACCTTGTAAGGGGCAGCCAATCTTCGGGTGGCGGGGCAGCGCTCGGGGTTTTTTGGGGTTTTTTTTGTTCAGCAGGGCGGCGCTCAAGGGTTTTTTTTGTTTGTTTGTTGCGGGGCAGGGCAGCGCTCGGGGGGGTTGTTTCGGCGGGGTAGAGCGGCGCTCGGGGGTGTGTGTTTCGGTGGGGTAGGGCGGTGCGGTGCTCGAGGGGGTTGTTACGGTGGAGCGGTGCTTTTTTTTTTTTTTTTCTTGGGGCGGCAAAAAAGTTAGAGCCGGTCCTGCAGTCTCCACAGCCTCTTCAATTCCTTCTCCCACCTTGTTTTCATGCCTTCCACCTTGCTTCCGCCCCATGTGCAATCCCAATCTCAGTCTGCAAGCCCTCAGACTCCAACCTAAGATTCACACCTTCTGTGATGCCCACAGAGTCGAAGAAGTGGGTTGTAGCCCACGAAAGCTTATGCTCTAATAAATTTGTTAGTCTCTAAGGCCTGGTCTACACTAACACCCCAATTCGATCTAAGGTACGCAACTTCAGCTACGTGAATAACATAGCTGAAGTCGACATACCTTAGTTCGAATTTACCGCGGTTCAGACGTGGTCCACACGCGGCAGGCAGGCTCCCCCGTCGACTCCGCGGTACTCCTCTCGCTGAGGTGGAGTACCGCAGTCGACGGCGAGCACTTCCTGGTTCGACTTATCGCGTCCAGACCAGACGCGATAAATCGAACCCGGAAGTTCGATTGCCAGCCGTCGAACTACCGCGGTAGTGTAGACCTGGCCTAAGGTGCCACAAGTACTCCTGTTCTTTTTGTGGATGCAGACTAACACGGCTGCTACTCTGAAATCCCCCAGATCAGTCAATCATCCTGTACCCTCCCAACATTTTAGAAGCGAAGCTATAAAGTGAACAAAAATACTAAGTTAACATCTGGTCTCTTTGGTCAGTCTATTTTATCCATCTCTGTCTTTTAGATTATAAGCTCCACAGGTCAGGAATTGTCTGTTGTGTGTGTTCTGTAATGCCTGAATGTATTGTCAGTGTTATTTGACATTCCTGCATGTACCCCAAAACTGGACAGTACTGCAGGGAGCCATTTAGTATGTTCAGCCACTGACAGCTGAAAACCAAGCATCACATAGCTAGGAAATCTTAGGCCTCTTTGAGACAAGGTCAGGCAGCTGCATACTTGCAGTTTGTTAATTAGAATGGGAAGATGGGTCAGAAAGTTATGGAAGAGAGTGAATGAATAGCAACTTTGGTTTTAGGTACCCCTGACATATTGTTGTTTTGGCTAGAAATACTAGAAAAGTTTTGAGATAATGAATAGTTTGAGAATTGGTGACTCAGTAGAGGTTATTATGCTGACCCACTAGTAGTCACTATAGATTATGTGCTTTGTTAAGAGTTAGCTATAAAACATTAAGTAAAAGTAAATACCTCAGCCGTCCAAGGGAGCTTTTCCAAGGACAAGGAGCGGACATCTAAATTCCCCATCAGCTGGATGGAAAGAGGACCTCTAGAAGCCTCACTAGTGATCACTTGAAACCATCTCAGACTGTGGGTAACTATATCTGGGATGTCCTAAACCCTGTGTGTACAAACATAATATCTAATAAATAGTAGTTTTAGATAAGAGCATGCTTGCTTGTATCAAGCATTTATCAGACGGAAGCACTGTGTTCCCATTGATTTATTCCTGACACCGCCTGGCATAAGGGGGAGATAACCAGACCTTTCTACTGGGTGGAAGAAGATGGTTGTCCAGATTATGGCCACCTTCTACCTGTGCATGCATCAGCTGAGCCCTGACATAAATTTCTCTCTCCCTCAACACGTCCAAGGTGAGAGATTAGAAACAGCAATGAGGACCCCAGAAAGCGAGCTACC